CAAACAGAATAACTATAATATTCTCTTTCATGTTGCACTTCCTTTTTCCATTTTCTGTGTTTAAATTTCGCTGTCTGTCTGTAATTGTCTGTGTATCTGCAGCTCTCACTCTTAACATTTCTGTTGGATTTTATTGATGAATGACTCCTTTACTGCTTCTGTTATCAAACAGAACACGTATTAGAAAACCAATGTGGACACCTGGACTTATTACATTTCTGTTTCTCTCAGACTCGTATAAGAAAATTCATTAAAAATAGGACCATACATGCTCTCATGTATATACTGTAATTGCAAGATATAGTGCCAAAACTCTAGCTGGAGTGAGGGTAGTGCAGAGGAAATTGTATGCTAATAAGAGAATAGTCCAATGTAAATTTCTCAGATGCAGATAAAGGTATAGAACACTGCGCAATCTAGATCCTGTGGAACATGTAGAGCTGAAGTTAATGAGAAAAATTAATATCATTACGGTGGTGTGATGCCGTGCAGTTGAGGAATCTCACTGCCTGAGAAAAGAAGCTGCTCTGTAGTCTGTGGCAGCGTACACTTCTGTGTCGCTCGTCAGGCGGCAGCAGGGCGAGCAGGCTGCGGCTGGGGTGGGTGCTGTCTTTGAGTATCTTCAGGCACCACATCTCACCAATATCACTTACTATGTTTGCATGCACACTAATAAAACACTATTATTTTAAATATGGCAATATTCCAAAGTTGATGGACTGAAGATTGCCACGTGAGCAGCGTATTCCGTTTGGATGTTTTAAATGTGGCTCTCAACATGGCAATGGAGACGAATTGGAGGGTGGGCGATACGCTTCTCAACCGCGTCGTTGGTGGGGACAGTTATCGGGCGTAATCGCCGTATGAGTGCAGTGCGGAGTGGGAGTCAGCTATCCACACATGGGACTCCCATACACTAACATATGTTAAGACACATTTTATTTAATTTGCCATGTAAACAGCTTAGTAAGAATGTTGTCTTTTTCGGAATAACGGCAAAACCGGAATATTTTGTGCATGTAATCGTAGTCAATGATGCTGCTTAGTTGGGTATTATTGATGTTCTGAGTGGTTTTAATCGCCCGCTGCAGAGCCTTCCAAAAACTCAGGAAGGCGGCTGAACTTCAAAAGAAGCCGGCCAGTTAACAGATGTACATTTGCAAAGCCAACCACTTGGTCCTCATCCTTAAAGCCTATTCTCTGGCAAAACTGAAAAATACTGTTTGAAAAGACTTCCAATAAAGCATAAATCTCACCTCTCTGTTGCTTGTCTGATCTTGTTTTCTGGAGCAGCATCTTCCGGGACCATTGGCTCATTACTACTCCCTGAGGCCAGAGAGCAGAACCCCCCCACTGGTACAAGCAACATTAAAGTGGGATTTATGCTTTATCTGGGTGTTTCAAAATGTATCGTTCAGTTTTGAAAGAGAAAATGACTCAAACAATGAGCACTAACTGATTAAGTCTGGTTAAGAGCTCCACCTCTGTTGAGGGAAGAACTGCTTCCCTGAGCTTTTCTGTGTCACCACCTGGGGCTGACTTACCCCATTACTTTTACTTCAAACTAAAGAATATTAACTAGTTGGATTTCCTTTAGTATTCGAGAGAGTACAGAGGAAAGCACATCCACATATTAAATCACTGTCATGTCACATTTAGGGTTCGAGGTTTCGGGCTCTGTTAAGGAGAGAAAAGGGGTAACTGAGGAGGGGAAAGACAACTTTGGTAGATATATTTGGATAAAAATGCTGCGATTTTAAAGGCAGCAGTTCTATAGAAATCCCAACTTTCTACCTGTGTGTGTAGCTGACTTCTGCACTGCAGTGTAAATTCCTGTGGAGTGAGTCAAGCAAGTGGAAAGAAACCTTCATGGATCAATAATATTATGAAACCAACTGTGTATCCTCAGTTGTGTGATAGTTCCTTGAACCAGCAGACTCTCAGGCTTTGTGACTGACGCTGCACCACTTTTTATTTCCCTAATGGCATTATCAGATATTCAGTATGCCACCTAATTGCACCGACTCGGTGAATGATAATTCCTTTTTTCTCCATCTTGTGCTTTGTTGGAAAAGACAAACGTCTCTTGTACTGGTGGTTTGTCATGATTAGTTCAGGCCTACTGATCTTGGCTGCTATTCCCTGAGCTCAATAGGATTTGGTGTAATCCCACAGAGCAGAGCAGATGGACACACAAGTAAGATCACAGTGGTATAGGGGCTATAATGGGCCTGGCACTTTGCTTTGAAACCCCTTTTACTGGTAGTCATTTCAATCATTTGATTGTGTAATCAGATTTAATATAAAAGGTTTTTCTGGATGGTTGGCTGTTATGGTTGGCCAGATCAATCAATTTATAACCAATATGGACGCGCCATTTAGAAATCAATGCATAGTAGATAGCTGTTACAGTTATTGCTGCGTTGGGTGTCGCATATACTTGTACTGTAATCCCACACAGCAGATGGATAGACAGGTATGTTCAGTCACACAGGAATGAAAAGAGGACTGGCTCTATCCATCATTTCTGAACTTTGCCATCAAATTACAAAATAAAGAAAGTCATTACTAAATGCACTATAATATCATTGAGCAGATGGCCGTCTTACAGCTATCACTCTTCCTATCCCATATTTTATTAGCCGAGGATAGAGCCCTGAATGACAACTAATTGTGGTTGAGCTGCATTATTATAGCTGCAGTAGTCTGCTCCATGACTGCTGCCAGGCACTCCAGGATTGTGTGTCACTTTGTAATGCTGGGAGTTTCTCATGGTAATACCGAGAAGAACATTTTAATTTGCATTTGCAGATGACACATTTTGGTAAAGCAACTGTCCCATGTTGTGTTTTTAATCATAGCACACTCCGTCTACCACTTACCACCAATTTAAAATAACTCTAGGGATCCAAAACTTCTCCTACCAACACCAAAACAATCTGGTTTTTTCACGACTGGCGATGAACTCCAACTACTCAAATCTCTGATTAGCAACATAGACGGGGAAGTAAAGGCGGAAGAGTTGACTCAAAGCAAATTGGGTCAAAGTTCACTCCATTTTAGATATTTTCCTTGAATTTACTTTACTTTTCTTCCCAGATGGGCTAACAGAGTAGACCAAAAGTAAATTTGTTCAATATTTACTGTTCTTGTCTTCTCCTAGCATATTTCTACTGCTATGTTGAAGTATTTTAAGTGCCAATATGTAGTTTGGAGAAGTATAAAATGTATCATCCTTTGTGATTGCCTAGAAAGTAATGTCCTTTAAAACAAACAGTGAACAGATCCGCAGGCTCAGAGAAACCTTTTCAATATAAAGATGGTGAGAGCTCGAGAGCTCAAGAGGAGGATTACGCAAAAGTTTTCCACACAGACTTTAGGGAATCATTAATCCACCCTGAAGACGTATAATCAACTTTTTACCGAGTCTTCGCAGGAGTTCAGTTTTGCTCTTCAAACCTAAAATAGTGAAAGTAATTATTGTAAAAGTTGCTGGCTGTGATGCTTCTTTAGTCAGCATGTATTCTGCATCTCCCCCTGTGCCAAAAGACTCATTACAACTTTACAATTATTTGTGGGCAGCATATTTTGTATAGGCTACCATTTAGGGAGTTATGAGTGTTGCTTTTATTTTGAATTAATAGTCAAAAGGTTTAGTAATAGATGTAATATTGGAGGCATTTTGTCTCCTTGGTTTCTGTGTATAAAGACATGCAAGTTGAGTGAATTGGGGTTTGAATTTGTGAATAGTGCTTAATGTATGAGTGGTGGAAAGTAAGTGCGTTTAGTCGAGCACTGTACGTAAACTCCACCCAACACATCTGCGGAAAGTGTCAAAAAAAGACTCAAGTGATGTCATTTGAGTTTGCATCAGTTGGAAGAATCTGAAGGATCTGACCTTATACAAATAAAAGCTTTCATTGAAAGCATCATCTAATGAAATATGATGATGCTATAGATTTAACTACCCAATAGTAAGTATATTTAGCTCAACCTCCACATGACACATGTAAAATGCTACTTACATTAAAAGGGATATGTGTATGCATAGCAATGCACACACTGTTCTGCTTAATGAGTACAATTAGCTGATAATAGTTATGTACTTTTACTCGAGTGAGGTTTTAAATTACTCTACCTTACTTGAAGGTTCCCCATTTACTTTACTTTGACTTCACTGTTGTAATGTGTTGCTGCTAAGATCACAGTTGCTGGAAATGTAAAGTAAGCAGGGCAACCATTACAGATTAAAGTGGCTGAGACATTTCAGGCATTGCCTGAAAAAGAGTCCCACTCTAGGAAAAATACACCCCACAGTAACTTCAGCTGCACACAGGAGCAGTTAACCCCAAATACTTGGGGCTGCTTTACATCTAAGTAATAATTGCACCGTTTCCAAATCTCAAAACATTCACTTCATCATCTACTGTTTTTTCTCTATAGGCCTACTGTCATCGAGGCTCTTTCACAAAGACCACCAACATACTGCAAGGTCCGCCCTTTTGTGTGGTTCACCTGTAGCAACACGAGGAAACTATACTCGGATAATCAGCTCGTGTCTGCTTTTTTTGGGGGGGGGGATTTCAGCGAAGAATAGATAAACATGTCACTGTTTTAAAAGGAAGATATGTGAATACCGCTTGTCTTTGCTGGTAGCCTACTAACTTTTTTTTTTTGGCGTGAGTGGACGCTGACGCGTTAATTAGACGGTGCCCCTGTGCTTCCCTCTCCGCCATGTGGCGCAGAGACCAGAGCGGAACAACCAGCCGGTAATCCGCGCGCCCTTTGCCGCGGACGTAATGAGATTACGGTGTGTTGCACCGGTCGCTGCTGCTGCTGCTGCTGCTGCTTGCTGCCCCTGCGGTAAAATGCACGACTAGCCTCCGACAAAAACCTCCCTGTCTGACTCCGCATCGCCCCCCCTCTCTCTCCCCCCCTCTCTCTCTCGTTCGTTAATGTCGTTCGGTCTCTTTCTCCCCCCCCTCCCTCTCTGTCTCTCTGGTTGAACGCAAAGGGGGAATACTAGAGGAGAGATACTGTTACCCCGTCTCTCTCCTACAGAGCTCATAGTTACCGTGTAAGTCTCACACTGGAGACTGAAACTAAAAGAAGACTAGAGGAGAACGGGACTATTTTTCACCGCACAATAACCATTATCCTTTTTTTTTTTTTGTGTGTGACTTGAACATAAACTCATTTTTCTTCTCGTCCTGAAGGCGCGGACAGCTTTATTCTTCCCTCCCTTAAAAAAGAAAAGAAAAGAAGAAGTGGATTCGGGTGGATGAGTTGTGTGGATGTTATTTCCTGGATATTCTCCTCGGGCTGTTTCTCATCGCGGCCCAGAGACGGCAACAGTGTGTGGAAAAGTACAGTTGTGTGTTAAACATATGGCTTCAACGAGGATAACGCGGTGAGTCGTGAACCCGTCTTCTTCAATGGAAGAAGTCCGATTTTTTATTCTCCTGGTTGTATTCTTTCACTCTTTCTAGAATATTATAAGGCTACATAGTTTATATTCCTCTATTCTTTTTGTAAGGGGTAAATTAAGAAGTTTGCACGTGTGCTATTTGTAATTAAATACAAATAAAACTCTACTTCCACATTACAGTATCGACTATAGTAGTTTGAACATTGAGAGCTGAGAGCTTCTTCCTTGTGTTTGAATGGGGGAGTTCGCTGTCCGTGGTGCTGAAACGGGCTGAGGAGGGTTATTGGTGCTGGTTTACTCAGCACATTTATATGCAACACGCTGCTATCTCACATTCAGCTTTTGTTTATCAGTGGTCATAATGATACAGGTTGCACCATCCTGGCTTTACCAGTGTCTATGCCCTACAACTAATAATGGAGTTTTTCATGTGATATTCATTTCGATTAAAGGAGTTAAATTGCATTTCTTTGTGGTCGTAGTGGAATTGGGTTCAAACCCATAATATATGCAAAATAAGTTATTTGTTGTAATGGATCTTCCCTCTGATCTGACATCACAAGAGTGTATACATGTTTTCAACAAGTAGACAGTGGAAGTGCTTTATGAGCGGCCACAGTAACGGTACATGTGGTCCGTCTCAGTGGTCCCGTCACAAGGTTACCTCCCAGCAGCCTGTGTGTCTATAGGATTATGAAGAGAGAGAGTCATCCGATTACTTTAAATTAGGGGCAAGCTGTCGCCTCCTCAAGAGAGAGCAGATAGTGAGGGGAGAGAGTCAAAGGTGGCAAGGTGGGGGGGGGTAAAGTAGGCGTAACAGGTCTGTTTTTGATGCTTTTACAATACCCTTATTATGAACTTTATCCTGCTCTGGGTGTCAACATATGTGCCGTTATATAATGGGAACCTTTGCGCAGTCATGTGTGAAAGTGGCTTGTACACACAGGTAGAGCTATTTAGTGCTATACATAAACTGCAGTGACTTAATATTGCTGCTTTGTCTTGTGTGTTATAATGAAGCAGAGTGAGACTGCATTTGAGTGTCCAATACCAGCTGGATAATTATGTGCCAATCTACCTGTACGTGTGTGTTTATGTGTGACAAATGGCATTGTGTGTGTGGTCCTGTGTACGTCAAGTGTGTGTGTGTGTCGGTGTGTGTGTTTGAAGAGGGGTCAGACAGACAGAATGTGTTTGGTGAACCTGGGACCCGTCCGCTCGTCACCATGTCAAATCCTGTTAGTCACGCTGGATGACAGACGCACCGGGACTTTGATTTAAAGAACCGCTGCTTAGTCCTCGCCTTTTGATCGGGAGATTGTCTGTGGAGTGATGCATTCATTTATTTGGTTGATTAGTTAGTTGATTAGTTATTAGTGCAGAAGAAATGTGCATTTACGTTCCCTCCATTTAAAACATAAGCCCTTTTCTTCATTTGCTTCTTCACCTGATCTTGAACAAACACTTATTCTAGGGAGATTTGTTACTGTTTTTGTCAGAACACTGAAGTTATAGTCCTTCATTTTACTGATCTTATTTGATCCTTTGCACTGACTTTACAAATGCTTGAATAAAATAACCCCAAAATGTTCATTAGATCTTTGGCATTATGTCTTACCATCAGTCTTACACTGACTGAAAGGTTTCCTTCTTCAAAGTCAAGTACTTTCTTGACTCTATAGTCAACTGATGCCATTCAGCTATTTGATACAGCATGGTAATCCAACAGCGCTGACTACACTGAATATTTTAGTGCTCTTTGCTCGAAGAACAAAACATCATCTCTTCCGAAAATCCCTGAGATTCACATGTAAAGTGTTAGTTCGAAGTAACGTGGATTACAAGTGATTACAAGCGAGTATTTTATGATTTAACACAAAAAAATTAACAAATTAAAAGAATGTGTGCACTGCAAACGATTGTTTGCAATAAATTGAGCTACTGTAATTGTGGCGAAAATTGCAGAGGTTCTAAATCTGGGTCCTTGAGAGTCAAACCCCTGCTGGTCGGTCCAATTGTGTGAAACACACATGGGAGGCTAAATGAACTACGTGGCTGGGTAAACACAGCTAATCTGGGTCCCAAGGTTCACAATTAGAAACCGCTGCTTTAGTCCACACAACTCCTACATGCTTCCATTGCCTTTTATTTTTGAAACTAATATTTCACTAGTATTTCATATTAAGATGCAATAGAAAACTTATTAGATATGAATCAGTTCCACATTTCCAATAGCTACCTGAATCTAACCCTGTTAGTCAGATACAAGCTATCAGGAGTGTTGCTGGCAAACATCATTGTTGTCAGAGGTTGTTATTGTTGAAATGTGAATTTTCTTATTGCAACAGTAGTGAGATTGGAGTGTTGTTGGGGCCAAACAGGGCCAATGCTTACTGATTGGCTTTGATTTCACAGAGCTTGGCACAGCTGGCAGAGCCCTACTCAGGTTTCCTTACACTCCTCTGTAGCGGACAATAGTAAACGTTCAAATGTACTTTTTTCCACCCCTGGAAGTTGTCTAAAATTAACACCTCAACCATAGTTTTGGTGGAAGGTTGAAGGAGAACTAAACGAACACAATGATTTGGTAAAAGCCTCATTATCTTGCATGACTGGTGCCTGTGTACATGATCATGGTTTTGAGCTTGACTGTTTGAGCTGTCAGATTTGGTGAAGCCCTTTTTGTTTGTTTTTTTTAAGATGTGAAGGTGAACCTGCATTGCCTCGAAATTGTAACTATCTCTCTTAATTATCACAAAGTAACAGGTATGATTTCATACAAGCCCTGTGGTTATGGTTAGCTTCGTTGAGTGATTTTAACAGGAAAATGTGCACAATTTATTTATTTAATTGTTTGGCATAAAACAATAGATATCATTAAGAGTGACGCACGTTTTTATTTCACTGGACCTTTTAATTAGTGAAGGTTGACATTGATTTTTACATTCAACGTTTTTAAGTTAATGACTGAAATAAAATAACGGAGCAGTGATCTTGATTCAATTTTGTGTCTGATTCACGACGCCTTTCAACCTGGATGCTAATTATTACCTCAATGCATCTATTCCTTTCAACACAAATCAAATAGGACAGTTGTGACTGCGTCATGATTCTTTAAACATGCCAGAAATATTAGATACCGACAAGACTTAATCATTTGGTGTTGTTGTAATAGTTTATTCTCAAACAGCATTGTTGCAGATAGTTTTGAAGTGGTTTTGATTTACCACAATCAGCAAATTATGGAAGGTCAAGTCCAGGGGGCCTCTTCTTTAATTCCACCAACAGATCCCATACTCACTAAAGATGTAAAGCCCTTTTATATATACATTTAAAAGGGCTTATATACATTTACTTACTCAATCAGGAGAGACAAGTGAACGAAGAACACATTACAGTTTATTATACCAAACGATGTGTGATATTAAAGTCTTGATAAAAAAGTCTTCGGCGCTCAGACTCTACTGGGATATTTGTAATCGAGGGGCGTCTGCCTTGAGCAGCAGCAAGCTAATTCCCCCCCCCGTGGAGTTCAGACACTGATGGTGGTGGTGGCTGATGATTCTGCTCTGACTAGTTGTCTGATGAGGCTGATGAATCTAAGAATACTGGGTGATGATGGGGATGTTTGTAATATCAGCCTGATTGTATTTAAGGCAGAGAGAGAATTTTATTTAAACAGAGACAGCGGCAAGATGATAGGCTAACAATGTGGGTGTGTCGCTCTCTGCTATTGGATAGATGTGACCAGCTGGTGAGAATAGCTGATAACGAGATTGACAGCCCCGAACAATGACAGCAAGGAAATGATGCGAGAGCATGCGTGAGAGTAACGAAGGCAGGATGTATAAGAAATAAACTCCGCGCCTAAGCATGACAAAGTGTAGTCCTCCTGACTGAACTCACACCAGAGCTTCATTTGGTCCCTTCTTCCCAGTGGCCGCACTACCTATTAGAAAGATGTCATATTGAATTAGCCACACTCATGTGAGCACGGCTAACTATTCTTCTCCCTGACAGATTGCAGGCTATGGCTGAGTTCTTCCATTTCTATCTAAAGGGTAGATGTGGACGATGTAATCCTCCTAGGTATTGACCAATTCTATCAAAACCATATGTTTTCTGTCTGATCTTATTCTCATTATTAGAGTTTCTGCAAAAGTACCGCCCAACTCTAACACATTTACAATGTAGTGTAACCATTGTTCACGTCTACAAACTGCTCTGTGCTTTTCTTATTACACCCCGAGATAACAAGAGCTGGTTATTTTATTATTTTTGTTATAATATTGAATGCTTCTTTCAAACTTTACCAGACGGTGTTGTTGAACCTGTGCTGGGAGTTATATATTTGGCTTTATGCTCACAACAAGCTGTCATAGAGATGTCATATTTAGTTAGCCAGGCCTCTGTGAACAGCACTAGCTGCTTAGTAACTAAAAACATATTCTCTCGGGTTATGAACTAAGTTGAAATGTTTCTGTCAGATAAAAGAACATCCGGTGAAAATCCAACATGTGATCTTTCAGGTCGTATTAGCCTGCTTTCCACTTCAACACATCAGGAACTACTTATTTAAAGGTTAACACCCAACAAAAGGCCTACCATTCTTTCATTTGTAAATTGCTGAAATAGCTGTCTATGGTTTCAACTGATTCAGGATTCTGCTCTTCTTATAAGCGTCAATAGGTGTGTGTCATTGTAGAATTGTGCTACCGGTAATAGATAATGCCTTCCCCATGTACGACCTCGGACAGTTCTGGCCTCCGGGTCGTCCATTAAATCCTGATAATAGACACCTCAAAGGGCATTATCCCGCTGATACCATGGTCCCATGGAAAAAAGAAATGAAGACCATTCATTTATATTGTCAAGCATTTCTGCAACCAAAATCGAAAGTTTTTTTCACAAGCTATTTACTCCGTTTCCCTTGTAACCCTGAGGGTTTGCTAATAACTGGAACAATCATTGCCGTCCCATAA